GAACTGAGGCTCAGAGGAAATAAGTGACTTACCCAGGGTCCCATGACTAAGAAACTGCAAAGCTGGTATTTGAGTTCAGGTCTGCCTAGCTCCAGAGCCTGTACCAGGACCCACTGCCACCAGCTGTGTCCCCTAGAGGGGGAATACATGTATACAGATGTGACCGAGACACAGTCAGCATACAAATTGCCATTAAGAGGGACAGGAGAAATGCAACTGGGGTTCAGAGGAGAGAGATCAGGGAAAGTGGGAGAAGGGGACGTTGGATCTGATCTGGGCTGAAGGGTAATAGGATTTGGACACTTGGTTCAGGGAGGGGTCTCCAGGAAAGTTTGGAGAGAGAAGCAGGGATAGCGTTTGGGAGAACCAAAGAGCTGAGGTAGGGGTGAGGATGAGGAGTGGTTGTGGCCAGCTGTGCTTTCAGGCCCCAGACAAGGTGCCTCCTCCTTCCAGACTGTTCTCTTCAGAGATGTGAAGAGGTTTGATCTTCTCTAGGACAGCTCAACACAGGTGCCCAGTTCTTTCCTTTCCTCCCGATGTGAGGTGGGCAGGCCCCATCTGGAGGGTAGACAAGGGCACCTGGGCACCAACAACTGTCAGTGCTTCATTCCCCTCTTCCTGGTGGTGAATGGAGAGAAGGGAAGAATGGTCCATTCCCCAAGGATCAGCACTTTCTCCAGACAGCACAGAGCTCCAGGCACCAGAATGGCCTCTAGCAGCCTTGGTGAGAGAGAGGGCTCTCCAGGTCCTCCCTGGACAGCAGGTTGAAGCACATGCCTCTCACCCATGGAGGGGCTCCTTCCTCCTGTGCCGTCTCTTAGCTAAACTCATCTGTTTGTTGGAAGGTGGATAATAGCCCCAGATGCCTGGGCTCTGTCCCTAAAGTGCCTTTGGATTTTTCTCCAATCAGCACAGGTGGGAAATCGGGGGAAAGAGTATGATGTACTGCTAGGAGCTCTCTCGGTTTCCAAGGATAGAAGAATAGCAGTTATTTTTGTTGAGCTGGACTCACAGTGAGTCAGGGGTTTTATCATTCCATTTTGCAGATGAGAAAGTTGAGGTTCAGAGAAGGAAAGTGATGCAAATGTAGTTGTCACATGAAATATGAATGGCTGTGTCACTGACTCCTGAAGGAGGGACATAGCGTGGAGACTCAACATGGAAAACAGCCCCTTCTGTCCCCTGCTCTTGATCATCAATTCCTCCTCCTGTGGCAGCGGCTCTGAAATGCTGACTCTGGATACCCTGGCTGCTCTCCAGCCTCTCCCCTATGTGGTAACAGATCATTCCTCCTGGCTTGCTGCTTGCCTGAGAGCCAGAGGGGTGTCTCTGGGGGACCCAGGCCTCAGGAATGTTGCCCACATAAGGTCCAGACATCCAGTATTTCTTCTGTGACTCTTATGGTCTCTGGAGTTCCTGGGTTTCTCCAGTCCTTCTTGAAAGGATTCCAGCATTTCTGTAAGGGAAAAAGAGGCAGAGAAGGGCAGAGAAATTCTTCTTTAGGGTCCTTCAACCCCATGGCCCTTATCACCTGGCTCACACTAGAACTAGAATCAAAGTCTACAAAGGGATTTTCAGTGTATCATCTTATCTGATTTTCCTTATAATCCTGAGAGGTAAGGCAGGGAGGGCATAATTATCCCCATTTTGTGGGTAGGTTAACTGAGGCTTGGAGAAGGTAAGTGACTTCTCCAGGGTTACACAGATGATACTGGCGGAGCAGGGCTAGAAGATAGAAGCCAGTGTTCAGGAAACCTGACATTTATTCTCAGTGCCCAGTGCTGACAGCTACTGGGAGAGCCTCTGGCTGGCCTCTTAGTCCCTCTCCACCTCCAGGACCTCTCTCTGGTTCAGCCCAGTGTGGGTGGTTCCTGTTCTGAGTTCAGACCTTCCCAGGCTTCCTAAGGCCTCCAGAGTAAAGCCTCACTCACCAGTTCTGTATCTGAGCATTCCCTAAATCCAGCCCTAACGAATTGCCCTTGCCAATCTCAGCTAACATAACAGGCTAGACTTTTCCTTCTGACAAGGTGGGCAAGATTAGCCATTTGTTAGGGGGCATCCCTCTGGGCTATTGGAGGAATGGGTTTCAGCCTGCTTGCTGCTCAGGGAGTAGATAGGGAAACTGAGGCAGGGGTCAGCATAGTCGCTGCCTTCAGTACAGCTTAGAGAGGCAAGGCTAGGAAAAGGCTTGAACTGGGCTGATACGATGGGCCTTTCCCCAGGAAAATCTACTGCTTTGTTTCATTAAATGAAAAACAGAGTGTACTGAGTGCCTACTTCTATTTCAGAAAAATCATTCCAAGGGGTACCCTAGGCTTTCCCAGAAAAGTAGCATCTGGGCCAAACCAGAACCAGAGACCCAGGTTCCTAAGGAACATTGGAGATTACAGCTCAGCACTTAACAGCAAGAACAACTGGAATTCTGGAATTAGTGATGATGATTGCACAACTCTGTATGTAAATATACTCAAGAGGACTGAATTGTATGCTGTAAAGTGGTATATTCTATGGCAAATAAATTATATCTCAATTTTTTAAAAAAAGAATACCTGAGATCATATTAGAGCATGCCCTGCACATGTCGGTGCTTAATAGATATTTGTTGAATGAATGCATTAATGGAGGTAACATTTATTTATTTATTTTACTTAAAAACTTTGTTTTGATGTAATAACATCTTTTTTTTTTTTTTTTTTTTGAGACAGAGTTTTGCTTTTGTGCAATGGTGCGATCTTGGCTCACCACAGCCTCCACCTCTCAGGTTCAAGCAATTCTCCTTCCTCAGCCTACCGAGTAGCTGGGATTATAGGCATGCACCACCACACCTGGCTAATTTTGTATTTCAGTAAGGATGGGGTTTCTCCATCATGGTCAGACTGGTCTCAAACTCTCGACCTCAGGTGATCTGCCCGCCTCAGCCTCCCAAAGTTCTGGGATTATAGGCGTGAGCCACCACGCCTGGCAAGAACATCTTAAAAAGCACATTTATTTGATCCTCACAGCAGCTGTGTGTGGAGGAGGCAGGGCAAGAATAATGATCCCCATTGAACAGATAAAGAAACAGAGGCCTGGAAAGATTAAATGACTCATCCAGGGCAATTGATTAGAGTTTCAGAGGGTTGAAATAAGTTTTTCTGCTATCTCCTCCAGCCCTTGATTCATTAAGCAAACCTTAACCAAGCACTTCTTCTATAATTGAGCTGTCCCTGAGGATGCTGAGAAACTGTTAACAATGTGACAAGACCTCTCTCATTCCTCGTAGTCGAGAGGGAGACTCAGAAGAAGAATCAAGCACGGACAACATGGTGTGATTAGGGTTGAGCAGAGGCAGGCTCAGAGGCTGCAGTGCCCGAAGGGGCCCTGACCAGCTCTGGGGAGAGCAAGGTGACTGCCCAGGAGGCTGACAGCTGATTGGACCAGGGAGGATCAGAAGCATGGCCAAAAGAAAGGGCAAGGTATGGCTGGGTACGGTGGCTCACACCTGTAATCCCAGCATTTTGAGAGGCCGAGGTGGGCAGATTGCTTGAGGTTAGGAGTTTGAGAACAGCCTGGCCAACATGTGAAACCCCATCTCCACTAAAAATACAAAAATCAGCCGGGCATGGTGGTACGCGCCTGTAATCCCAGCTACTGGGGAGGCTGAGGCAGGAGAATTGCTTGAACCTGGGAGGGTTGTAGTGAGTCGAGATTGAGCCACTGCAATCCAGTCTGGATGACAGAGCAAGACTCCATCTCAATAATAATAATAATAATAATAATAAAGGGCAAGGTGGGCAGGGCAGGGTGTCTTTATGCCAGTCCAAGATGCCCTGGAATCCTGTGATGAGATTAGGGCTGGCTTTGATTCAGAAGAGCAGGAGGAGTCACTGATGAATTTTAAGCAGGGGAGGAACGATGATAGATTGCCCACTGCCCTCCATCCAGGGCAAGCCCATCTCAGCCCATTCTTCAATACCGCTCTCCCTGCCCACCCTCTGAACCCTCTGCGCTTGTCACGTGGTAAGCCTGATAGAGGTGAACTTAAGCCCAGGTGCCCTCTCTCTCAGAGCAAGCTAGTCCTTGCTTCATCACTCCAAGTGGCCCTCCTCAGTTTGAGTCAGCCCCTGACATTGCTGTTCTGGCCTTCAACTGATCACAGCTAGAAACTGTCAGTAACATTATTACTAAGTGCTAATAACCATTAAAACAGATGACCATTCATCAAGCCCCTACTCTAAGCCAGGCATGGTTATAAGTGATTCATTTCTGTATGACTTAAAGTCATTTAATCCTTATCCTAAGAAATAGGTCATAGTATAATCCCTAGTTGGCAGATCAGAAAACGGAGGCACAGAAAGGTGTCATAATTTGCTTAAGTGTTGCTGAAGCTGGGATTCAAAACCAGAGGCTGTGCTGAGTCTTACCCACTGGACTATAGAGTACAGAGGAGGAAAAGGGCAGCCAGTCCAGCTGGAGACTGAGTGAGCAAAGAGGGACTGGCCCCATGAACTTGGCAAGCCACAGAAGCACACACAGGCCTTGAAGTCCATTCATTCAGCATGAAGGGGGCAATCTGCCTTTTGCCTTTGAACCCAGGATTTCTGAAGCTCTAGGCCAACGGTGTCCCTGCCTGTTTGATGTAGCCTGGCTGGAGCCTGAGTCTGGACAGCCAGATTCATATTTTCTCTCTCATCTGTTTCTTGTTCTCCTACTCACCAGCCCAGTGCTTGGGCCTAGAAATGGATTCTGCCTCCAGCTGCTCCTCCACTGGGTCCAGATTTAGTCAGCAAATTTTTATTGAGCTCCTACCATAATCCAGACACTGTCCTGTGTATTGAGACAGGCAAACATGGCAGGTAAACACATGCTATGGTCTGGATGTTTGTGTCCCCTGTAATTTATTTGCTGAAATCCTAACCGCCAAGGTAATAACATTAGGAGGTGGGGCCTTTGGGAGGTGATGAGGTCATAAGGGCTCCACCTTCATGAATGGAAGAACGCCCCTGTAAAAGAGATCCCAGAGCCTTTTGTAGTTCCTGAGCGTGATGATTGGGTGTTCACACACATGTGTGAGATGTGCCAACTTTGAACCTTGTTACAGTGTCAACGTATTACCTGTCTGACAGGAAAAAAACGAGAGAGATCTCAGAGAGCCAGCTTTCCCTTCTACCATATGATGACAAGCTAGAAGGCGCCATTGCTGAAGCAGAAATCAGCCCTCAGTAGACACTGAATCTGCTGGCATCCTGATCTTTGACTTCTGGCCTCCAGAAGTGTGAGAAACACATTTTATTGTTTATGAGCCACCCAGTTGATGGTGTTTTTTTATAGCAGCCTGAAAGCAGAACTTCATACCATTCTCTGGCATTTCCCAAGGGGTAGTGACAAAGATGTCTCTTGGTTCCTCCATGGGATGCATGATTTTGAATTTGGAAAAATACCTCTATTGGGGAAGGTAGCATGTGCTGGGAGCCCTGGGCTGGGGGTCAGGCTTGGGCTGTGATCCTGCCTCTGCTATGGCCTTGCTGGGTGACCTTAGGCTGGTCCTTGACTCTCTTGGGTTCTCTTCTTCCCCATTTACCAAAGGAGAGGATTGGTTGGGATATGAGAACAGTCCCTGGCATTTGTGGGGCATTTGCCTGGCCTGTGTCTCATGTGCTCACAGGAGCCCAGGCTGATTCCAAGGTCCCTTCCTGCCTAGCAGTTGGCTCCTGGGTCTCACATGCCCTGGAAGTGACCTCTGGGATGGGTAGCTCATCAGCTCCCCCATACTTCAGCCTAAGGAGTCTCCTGCTGGCTTCTCAGAGCTGACAAAACAGGTTCCAGCAAGGCAGCCCCTGACACAGGAGCCAGACCTGTCCAGCAGGGACCCCACACACTGGTGGGTGTAACCTCTGATGCTTTCCTTTGGGCAGGAAGTGGGGAGGGCTGGAGTGCAGGTGGAGTGACAGCAGACTTTCAAGGCCCCTGAAAACTATGCAGTTAACCTAGTCCTGCCTCAGGAAGTGTAGTGAAACCAAAGCCCTAGAAGGGCCTCTTTCCCCAAGACTTTGCTGAGTGCCACCAAACTATGCTGGGACCCAGATCTACTGACCCCTCCCTGCACAAGTGCATTGTGTGCTCAGCTGTTCCTGGGCCTTGCTCGCGGAGTTGGGGAGGGCAAAGGATAGAGCGTGTTTGCACCCGGCCAGGTTTTTTTTTTTTTTTCCCCAACAATAATTGTAAAATTTTATTTTCTAGTAAATTGGGACATACACATAGACTGTGACCCAGCAAGTCTACTCATAAGTCAACATAAATAATACTAGTTATAGCAAACAACACTCAAACCTCAGTGTCTTACTGCAACGAAGTTTTATTTCTTGTTCATATCATATGCTGATGTGAGTCAATGTGGCAGGAGTTCTATTCCACATGATTACTCAATCTAGTGGTTCTTCTAGTGGCCACATTTTATCCTGGTGCTTTGGTTGGGGGGTAGAAGTGTCTCCATGTCCTTTGTCATGTTTCCCTGCCTCCTGTCATGTTTCTCAGATAAGCTTCTGGGTCTCTTGCCCAACTGACGCAGACAGCTGGTAGGTTGAGTGCCCAGAGGAGAGGGCGATGCAGAGGGCAGGCCTTTGTGCCTAATGGGGACAGGAGGCCTGGTAAGTCCTGCTGTGCGCCATTCCTGGTGGTGGAGCTGCTCAGTGGTGAGCGCCCATCCTCTCTTCAGGCAGTGGCCATGTGGCCTCAGCTAGCAGACCTGGAAGAGCCTCTCTGTGTCCTTCCTGACCACTGGTTCTTGGTGTCCACAGCCTCACCCACACCGCTGCAGCTCTGGGCTCTGTGACTCGGTTCTGGCACAGAGACTGGTTTGGCAGGTTTGACTACACCCATGAGCAGTGTGAGGGCTGGGAGCTGGGGTGGGGTAGGTCTGAGGAGGCAGTGCTGCCCTCTCCTTACCTCCATGCCCCCAAATCCCAGCCTCACTTCTGCTGCCTTTTCATCTTTCTCAAGGGAGGCTTCCTGGGAAGCTGGAAGGCAGAAGCCATGCAGACTCCTAGTCCTGATTCCACTGCTTACTTGGTATGTGGCCCTTGGCCAGCCCCTTTCCCTTCTTGGACCTCAGTTTCAGCACCTGTACAATGGGGTTTGGGCTCAGCGATCCTCAGACAGCCACGCTGTATGATTCTAGTTAGGGCTTTGCCATTTTCTCTCCATCCCTAAATAAATGATAGAGCACTGACTGCTGTAGGTCCTGACTGGGTAAAATGAGTGACTGGACCCCTGCTTGCTTCCTGGGGATGTTGATAGGATCAGCCAACATCCTAGCAAGGATCCAGTCTTGATGGGAAAGTTTTCTTTCTACACTCTTGCCTGCCCTTATCTGGCTCAAGCAGAAGGAGAGAGGATACCTACAGAAGGGGCTTTCTCTAGGTCCCCTCCCACGCTCCACTTACCCTGAGACCGTAATTGACTGAGAACCAGGCTTTCTGAGAACCATGATCGGGGGAGGGGCAGAGGTAGAGAACAAGAACAGAGGAAAGGCCCTTGTACTTGCTGCCTCCCGTTCCTCCTGACCTTCAGATCAGCCCAGGGTCTAGTTCAGGTCAGCTCACTACAACCTCTGCCTCCCAGGTTCAAGCGATTCTCCTGCCTCAGCTTTCCAAGTAGCTGGAATTACAGGCATCCACCACTATGCCTGGCTAATTTTTGTATTTTTAGTAAAGATGGGGTTTCACCATGTTGGCCAGGCTGGTCTTGAACGCCTGACCTCAGGTGATCCATCTGCCTTAACCTCCCAAAGTGCTGGGATTGCAGGAGTGAGCCACTGCCCTGGGCATAAAATTTAAGTTCTGACAATGTATAGATCAGAAGAAGGAATGGGAGTTAGATGAAGAGGACATTCCCAGCCTGAGATGGGGCATAGAGAGAGAAGGAAAAGGGAATTAACATTCATTGAACACCTATGTGCCAGTGCTATGCCAATTACTTTGTGTACATTACATATGAAAGAAGGAAAAGGGAATTAACATTCATTGAGCACCTATATGCCAGTTCAATGTGAATTACTTTGTGTACATTACGTACACCACCTGTATTCTCAAGTCTCCTTTCCAAGTGGCAGCCAGAGTGAACCTTGCAAAACACAAATCTGACCATGTCACTCAGTGCCTTTCTTCTGCCCTTAGAATAAAGTCTAAACTTCTTACCATGGCATACAGAGCCCTGAGTGAGCTGGTCCCTGCCTCCCTGTTCCAGCCATCTGTCTCTCCATTGGTCATTTACGTCAGCCACAGGAGTCTTCTCTCTATACATTTAGCAAATTCATTCCAGCCTCAAGACCTTTACACATGCTTAGGTTCCCTCTTCTTAGAATTCTTTTCCTGGCTCTTTGCTGCCTTGGCTCCTTCTTATCCTTTATGTCTCTATTTAAGTTAGTCCTCCCACTCCTTGCACTGCTTTCTGCCACCACCTCTTGATTCCTCCATAATGCTTATCACAATTTGTATTTTTAGTAGAGACGGCGTTTCACTGTGTTAGCCAGGATGGTCTCAATCTCCGGACCTCGTGATCTTCTCTCCTCGGCTTCCCAAAGTGCTAGTATTACAGGTGTGAGCCACTGCACCCAGCCCTGTCTTTTTCTTTTAATGTCATGTTCATTCTTGATTCCACATGGCATGGCACACAGCGTATTCAATAAGTATTTGTTGGATGAACGAATGAGTGACTTGTAAGGAAATGAGAGAGTGCTGCTTGAGTGCCTGGCATAGGGTATGGCTCTTAGGTGTTCAATAAATGGCAGCTTTTAGTGAGAACTGACATGGCAGACATAATAAATACCCACTGGTATATTGCATACATGGCAGTAGGGGATGCATTGGGCAGTTAATGTTGGAAAGTGATGAGCTCGTGCCAGATCTTGCTAGTCCCTGATGCTCGGCCAAAGAGTTTAGACTTCCTGAAAGACAGTAGCTGGAAGTCATTGCTGGGCCATTAATGTAACTATAAAGCCCTGCTTCTGAGGTGTGAGCTCAGCCACTTTTCGTACTCAAGGGGCTGTGCTGTATAGCGGTGGGGGTGCAGGGTTGGGGACAAACCCAGAGAGAGACAGGCTGGGAAACTTCCTGGCCTTTACTCTGTTTCTAGGGAGCGTAGGATAGGGGTGGCCTAAGAGTCAGATGCTTGGATTTCTATTTGCTCCCCTTCCCTTATCAACCGTGTGACTTCTGCCAGGCTCATCCGCATCTCTGTGTTTCTTCATCTGTAAACAGGCTGCTGTTCGTACCTGCCTCATAGTTTTCTTGCAGAGGATCAATGAGGTAGAATCTGAAAAGGGTTTAGGAGAGAGCCTGGCACGTACTGAGCACTCAGTAAAGGTGAGCTATTAACTTCCATTCAACGGTAGGGGATTCAGAAAGGTAAAGTGAACAACAAATGCACAGAAAAGAGCATAGCAGCATAAAACAGGAGGGTGCTCTGGAGTGGCAGGAGTTTCCTGTGTGTATTGGGGATGGCAAGGAGGCAAGTGGAGCAGCCAGTGGGTCTAGCTCCCGCAGCCCGTGTGTATATTGGGCCAGGAGCTGGCACTTTATCTGGAGAGCAATGAAGATACTGCAGGGTATTAGGTTGGGAATGATGTGATCCGATTTCTGGCAGTGGGAGGATGAATTGGAAGGGTAAGGCTAGAGACCAGGAGACAGATGGCAGACTGTTGATGTGACCTGGGGAGAAGTGATGGGCTTCATCTCAGGCTCGTGGAAATGTAGAAGAACAGATCACAGAGTGAGTAGAGACCAAGAATGGATGGAGTGTGGGGCCTGATGGGTGTGGGGGAAGGGAGGGGGAAGAAAGGAACTCATCTTGGATGACTGCAGGCTTTCTCGATGGGGTGGCTGATGAGATTATAAAGCTGAAAAGTACGGACAGTGCATGTGGGTTTTGATGCCTGTAGTTTGACTTTTCTGGGAATTCAGTAGCTCCCTGAGAAAACTCTTTTATCTGACTCTCAGTGTAGAAAATCTTTCTAAAATCTCTGAATGATGACTCCTCCATTAGGGATGAGGAGGGCCCCCTGTGGGGACACTGTACATACCTCCTAAGGAGGGGTGGCTGCTCGGCCCCCTTTGGTGGTGACAAAGC